TTCTTTCTCTAGATCTACTCTCCAAAGGGTACCATTTTTTCTACTCTTCTCTGTCTTTGATTCATTGCAACACTTTGCTTATTTTTCTGTCTTTTTTTTCATTACCTCTGAATATATTTTGATTTATGCTCAATTTAATTCAGATTTAGTTAACTGTTGATGATGGAATTGATGGGAATGTTTATTTTTTGGGTTTTTATTTTATGGGTTTTTTCAAAAATCCAACCTTTTTAAGTTCAGAAATTGATTGGTTAAGTATGTAACTTGATTCAATGCTTCATCTTTCTATTTACCATAGAATGCTTTTATTTAACTCTTCTATTTTATTGAATGATAATTTTTGGATTGTGATGTAAATGAATGATACTATGCCACATTTGGAAGAGCTTATCTTATCATACAATGTTTTAAATTACACTCCTTAACCGCAATTGAGCTCTGCAATCGCATCACAACTGCAATTACGGTCACATCGGCCACATTTTCCCACAATTTTTTGCAATTGCAGTCACAAGTTAAAATATTTTTATCATACAAGCACTTCAGCATATGCTTAGAAGAGCTTATGAAAATAGCTTATGACCTTCCTATGAGTTTTTTAGCTTATTTTCATAAGCTTTTGTGGTAGCTGCTAAGCTTATTGAAATAAGCTAAAAGAAGCTTAAGGGAAGGTAGCTCTCATGTGATAAACACATCCCCAGGTTCCTATTTTTGGATGGTTCAAAATAGGATGGAGTTGAATGGAACCCACTACCGCTTATTTTTTCCTCCCGATTTGGGGCGTGGGATAGAATGAGATGGGACCAACTTATTATTCACATCGTTCCATTGCAAAATATCCGATAGTGCTTTGTTCATTCCATTTCATTGTACCTATCCTTAATTGTCCAATTATAGGCTTTATTTTATTTACTGCAATATCATGTTCGCTAAGTTTCCATTTGTGATTTACAGATTGGGACTAAGAGCTGTAGTTATAGATGGCACTCTCAGGCTCAGCTTCACGGGCCATGTCGAAGGGTGTGGTGATAACAGTGCCTGTTTTGATTCTCTCTGCTTCATTGGCTGCTTTTTTTCTGTTCTTCCTTCTGTCCTCTCTCTCGTCTTGCTCCTGCCCTCGGCCTTCGGACACCCCTGTATCCGGCACGAGTAGTATTGATGTTGGTGTGCCTGAGTCTAGCCATGGTAACATTCCTTTGTCAACAAGGAAGGAGGATGTGGAATGGGTGATAGATCAAATCCATGCAAATGGCCTTCATATGCATGATAATGTGCTTCGTAAGGGTATTAACCCCCGCACAAGGGCTCAACAACTTGTGGATCTTAGACAGTAAGGCTATTCCTCTCAATATGTTTTGTCCACTTCTGTGTGTATATGACTATATCTCTTTCTTTTTTAGGATTACCGGTATTTAACCTCATTCGTTACGTATAGTTCACAGAATGACTACCAAGTGAATTGTGCCATTTCTAGTTTGAGATATAGTTTGAGGGAGGTGTGATGATTTGGTTCAAAACAAGACAATTTGAACTCATATTAAACATGTGAAAATGAACTGGCTGGAATATAGGGTTGCATTTATTTAGAACAATATGTCGTCGTTTGATCCGTGTAACCGATCCACCTAGTGGGATTAAGGTTTGGTTATTGTTGGTTGAATTGTAGAGTAGCACTGAGGATGTGCAGGAGTTAGCTAAAACTGAGAAAAGATGCAAGAGATTGAGTGGAAATATGAGTTTCTAGAAATTTCTATTCTTATGCCTATTTTTTTGGTCTCTCCAATATTGTTTACATGATGCTATTCTTGAAAATGGAATTTGCTTACTTTATGTAAATGCAATTCAAACATGTCTTCAGGACCTTCACAATTGTGCTTTTTTAATTCTCAATTTATAATATCCGAAGGTTCCTAATATATATGTTGCAAACTTGCAATTCCTAATTTCATTTTCTTTGTGCATGATGCATGAATAGCCTTTTGATTAACTGATCACAATTTTTCTTGTAATTGTAGATTTAAGGGCATATCACACTATGAGGGACCTAAATCGAATAACCACACGGCCTTACCGTGCCCAGGTGAACTCTTAGTCGAAGAACACCATAGCAACTATGGTGAACCTTGGGCAGGTGGAAGAGATGTGTTTGAGTTTCTTGCTCAATCCACTCAACTCAGACCTGACTCGCAGGTCCTGGAGATAGGTTGTGGCACTCTTCGAGTTGGTTTGCATTTCATTCGCTATTTAAATCGTGAACACTTTCATTGTCTCGAAAGGGATGAGCTCTCTCTGATGGCGGCATTTAGGTATGAGCTTCCTGCTCAAGGCCTCTTAAACAAACGACCTTTGATAGTTAAAGGGGATGACATGGATTTCAGTAAGTTCGGTTCTAGCATAATGTACGATTTGATTTATGCTAGTGCCGTATTTCTTCACATGCCCGATAAACTCGTGTGGACTGGACTCGAAAGATTGACATCTAAATTGAAACCTTATGACGGACGAATCTTTGTATCACATAATATAAAGTTCTGCTCACGGTTGGGAGGAGAGGAATGCACAAAGAAGCTTATGAGCTTAGGACTTGAGTATATTGGAAAGAAGACACATGATAGTCTGCTATTCAATCATTACGAGATATGGTTTGAATTTCGACGGGTAAAGGCTTAATGTCTAGATTGATTTTAGAACAAAGCATGAGAAATCGCGCCGAAACACGAAATATGCGCTTCAGCAACTCAATGACATTCTTGCTTGGAGTCCAAAGTGGTGACAGTTTTTGTACACTTTTTGATGGTTCTAAGAGGGGAGTAGGAGTATGACCCAACAAAGTCACATATTTATGTTATTATTTTTGTTGTCTTAAGATAAAAGTGATAGCTTAATATTGTTATTATGTAGAATTTGATTTGTATTTAGAAGTCATTATTTTGCAACTGGTTGCTGTTTTGGCAATTATAAATTTACATGTGTAATGTTATGATTCTCTATTTTTTAGAAATTTGCATATTTATTTTATTTACTGCAATAACATGTGTAATGCAGTTGAACTCTCCCTCCTCCCCTTTAAAATAGGAAACAAAAATTTGCATATAAAAAAATATATTCATAAAAAACAAATATTTGCAAAGTCTCTTATCACTGCATGGTTAATCATCTTTGTGGAATGAACAATAGGAAAGCCATATTTATTTCTACCTACAACCAAAGATATTTGCATGGTTAATCATGACTCTATTTTCATTTTCAATCCATTCATATCCAAACTTAATGGATGAATTTCAATCCATTCATGACTCTATTTTCATGGGTTCGGATAGATGAATATCTAATCTATTTGATTTTTTTATTGGAATTAAAATATCATTGTAGTAAATCATTATTTTAAAAACTATTATCTCAATATAACATTTTTTAAAATCACAATTTAAAAAAAACACTTTTAAAAATCCCTTTTTGAAAATGTTATTTTTTGAACTTTTAAAATATTTTTTTTGTAATATTGTATAAGCATGCAACGTTTAAGGTTCTAAGTGTAAATTTTTTAATAAATTTTTATGTAATATAATATATATGTAATGTTAGTATAAAGATTTATACATAATTATTATATCTTCCATTATTCATTTAGATTAATTTTTTGAAGAGTAAAAGATGATTTAAATGGTGGATGATACAGTGACAATTTACAAAACTCATACAGTGTGACTGCATACGTTTTTTTATCATACTTATATATGTTATATACTTAAAATAAACTTTTAAAATTAATTATATTCACATGTCCTATAATTAATATCAATTTAATAAAATATTAAAAGTGAGAGTGAGAATCATAGATGAATTTGCTTAAATTTAATTTTTCTTGAATATTAAATGAAATTGAAAAGCAAAAAACATCATTTTTAAATTCTTTGTTTTTTGGATGGATTCGATAGATATCCAAATGGATATATCAATCGATATAATGAATGAAATCAAATTCATCCATTACTAAAGTTATCTATTTGAAATCCATACATTTAAATCCATTACCTCTAATGGATGTATTTGGATGAATTTTTTTTTTTTTAAAATTTGGATGACTTGTGGATTGTGGATAATTTTGTTATATCTACCTGAAATGGAGGTATAAAGTGGAGTTTAACCATGAAATGTATTTTTTTGGTACTACCAAAGTATCCCTCACTTTTTTAGTATGGAACTCGTTCCTTTCGGGGGTATGACTGTTCCTCTCAACAATTGTCACTACCAGGAATCGAACTCTTGACTTTTTAATATTTTTTAGGATCTAGTTAGACCTTATATCACTAGATCACCGACTTATTGGTCTATGAAACGTGTTTTGCCTGGTGATGTCTTTTATTGGAATTTTCAAAAAACCCATTGCTTCCATGGTTAAACTCAACCATAACAGACATCAGGAGCCAAAACAAGGAGCCACAAAATATTAGCAGGAGTTGATGGTACCATTCAAGAAAACAAGCACAAGAAAAGTTATTAGGGAATATCTAGGATATCTTAAAAAGAGAAAAAAGGTATACACTAAAAGTGTCGGCGTATTTTCCACCATTCATGTTTTATCATCATTCACTCTTGAAAGAAGTAATATAAATGAATGATAGATGATATATGTAACATCCTGATTTTTGAGTCTTTAAAATTATAATATCAGTCCTGGAAGTCTCGCTTGAGCGAGAGATTCTCGCCTGAGCGAGAAATGACAATTTTGGGCTGTTAACACAGTGTAATCGATTACATGGTCCTTGTAATCGATTACACTATACTCGTAATCGATTACATCATATTAAAAATGTCAGATATGTGTATTTTTCATGATGTAATCGATTACACTATACTCGTAATCGATTACATCATATTAAAAACGTCACATATGTGTATTTTCATGATGTAATCGATTACACTATACTCGTAATCGATTACATCATATTAAAAACGTCAGATATGTGTATTTTTCATGATGTAATCGGTTACACCTTATGGTAATCGATTACACACGTCACTGTGAGATTAAATCTGATAACTATAATAGACGTCCCACGAGGATAAGAGTTATTTTTCGAAAAACAAGAGAAGAGGAACGCTTTGAGGAGTAGTGCACCCTTAGAGTGAAAGAGGAGACCGGAGAAGAGGTAAAATCGCTTAACCTAGCCTCTCTTATGGTTGAATGTCATCGTTTTGGATGGGGTTTCTTCTCCATGTTTAGTGATAAAACCCCATAAACCCTCTCTTTGATTTTCGGTTCGTTTTGCTTTGGAAAACCTTGTAAAACTCATAGAGTATGAGTTGTTTTTCGAAATGAGTATGTGAGAAGTTATTTTCAAAACCGTAAAGTCATGACAACATTAAGGAAACCTTTTTGTTGAAGATGAACTGAATGGATAATTTTGTCTTGTGTTGTATGAGTTTTGGTTACTATTATTCTTGTCTTGACATGTAAATTGATGTGTTGTGATTGTTGTTGTTTTGGGTTGAAAGACCCTAAGGTTGGAGGAGACGGCGGAGAACGCAACTGAGCTTTAGTGCAAGCAGTAGCGGCTACTCAGGTGAGGGAGCAGCATTAACCTTTGTGGTATTAGAATCTTAGCATTGGAAACTCCAACGACACTCACTAGTTGGATGGTTTCGGTGAATTAACACGATTAAACGGAAATATCATGAATTTCCTATTTAACCGCGTTAATCTTACGGTTGTGGATAATATGTTGATTATGGAATTGTGACCTGCCCTTCGTGGTACGGAATTGTGACCTGCCCTTCGTGGTACGGAATTGTGACCTGCCCTTCGTGGTATGGAATTGTGACCTGCCCTTCGTGGTACGGAATTGTGACCTGCCCTTCGTGGTATGGAATTGTGACCTGCCCTTTGTGGTATGGAATTGTGACCTGCCCTTCGTGGTATGGAATTGTGACCTGCCCTTCGTGGTATGGAATTGTGATCTCCCTTCGTGGTATGGAAATGTGATATGTCCTTCGTGGCATGGAGTTAGACCTGCCTTCATGGTACGGATTGTGGTGCACTTGTAGTGTGGATTTTGACTGTGGTTTGATTGATGGACATTTGATTTATATTATGTATGGGTGGTATGATCATGGTATGTTGGTATATGGACTCTCTTTGATGTATTTGTGTTGTAATATTGTATAATTCCTGTGAAGTAATGCTTCAATGTTACTATTCTATTTAAAACCACCATGTTATATATTGCATGTATTTAATGACTGACTCCCTCTATGTTGTCTTGTTTACTCAATCCGTGGTAATCGGATTGTAGGTGGAACGAAAGATTAAGAGACTGTAGAGTCATGAAGTAATTGCATGGCATTTGGATTTAGTGTGTCTTCTAGTTATTCTAAGGATTTTGTAATTGTTGGCATTGGACCCTTTCATGGGAATTTTATCCAGGTTTTTGTTGTTTAGTTAATGAGACTAATGGTGGAATTACTGTATTATTTTTCTACTATCGATCTATCTATACTATATGGAGTACGTTCTGGTTGAAGTGAAGGTTTTAAAAGATATGTGATTTTTATTATGTTAGTAAATAATGGTAATTTTCCACGTTATTATTGGAGGCGTTACAATATACTGATTATATATAAAACTTTAGACTAACAATATATAAATATTATATTCTAAAACTATCTATGTTCAAAACAACACATCACATCTAAAATACCTTCTCAAACTACAGCAAAAGATTGGAAAAAGTACCAAATTAAAAATGATTGATTCCAATAATAACAATCAAATTTTTATTCTACTAGGTGGGGTCAATTAGATTGATCAAACAAAACCACAATACTCTATTATAAATCATGTTCGTTGACAAATCATTAATCTTTAAATCTTTCTCGATCATTAGTGTTTTACTCTACTTACGAGTGTTTCTACCTATCTCGATGAGCAAAACAAATGAGATGCAATTCCCTCTAGATTTTCAAAATAGTAAAGTAATTTGAGATGTCTCTATCTCTCTACCTAATTAAATGATTTCTTACACCAAGTCAAAAAATTGAAAATAATCCACAAAATCAATCTTTCAAATCTTGCCAAAGTTCTTTTGCATTATCTCTACAGACATAACTTTGTGCAATTTGTGAAGAAAAAGATATTGTAATCCGAGAAAGGGAGAAACTACTATTGTATTACACATTTCCTTTACATCATAGTTTGGCATTGTAATAGCTCCATCCATTTATTTTGGACAGCAATGCTCTCTTCATGGATGATAATTTCTACCCGAATTTTTGGCGCAATCGCTCGGGAATTGAGACAGTTAAATTTCACTAAAATTGTTTCTTAGCACCGGAAGTATTATAAGACGAGACTATAACATAACTATATTATTTGTGAATAAAATAGATTCATTAATAAATTATATCTCGACACATATTTCAATTTCGTTTGGATGAAGGTAGTAAACATAAAAGGATTTTGTGGAGATGAGATTGCACAGTAGAGCTCTCAAGCTCCGGCATCATAAAAAAAGTTTTAAGAATTACTATGAGTAGTCAAATTAAAGTGATTTAATTCAAGTAAGGTATATGAATATGAATATAAATTATTATGTAGATACCAAAAGTCTTATTTCTATTTTATGATGAGCAAATTTGGAATAAAAAAATCAAATAACATCAACCTTCATGGAAGGGTATGCACTTATTATAAATAATGGGTTATGATTGCCAATTATAAACAACCTAATGAGACATATAGCATAAGACACAAAATCATTCTCCTCGATCCTCATCCCATTAGAGGAGAAATTAAGGTTAAAAGGTAGTCTACAATTAAAAGACCAAATAACCGACATGTTCTACTACGAACATGTGTTTGCATTCAATGACATGGAGTTGATGATATATGATGAATGATCGATGATATAAAATTGATTCATCATATTCTCTATGAATACATTAAGGTACACTTCCGCTAAAGTTATAGTTCTATATTATTTCTTAATGATTTGATTGGAAAAATCTTAACTATATATGATGATAATATTTATCATCTTTAGCATATATTATATATTTTTAAGTATATAAACATCTCCCACCAATTAAAGTCTATTAAAAAATTTTCTATTAAAAAATTTTCATACATATTTCTCATTCATTTTGGAAGAAAACTTGACTCCGAGAGTAATTATAAGATTTATAGCACAAGTTACTAAAATAGTTAGAGTTAGAGAACTCTAAACACCCAAATTTGTGTGAGTTGTGACATATATTTACAAATAAAAATACAAAATTTTAAAACAAATGTGTTATTGACTGTTCGATTTTAATGGAGTCAACTGTTCGATTTTAAACGTGGACCTAAAAACTTTGATTTACAACCATTTTGTTTTGAATAATGAGTTTTAAGAGTATTTTAATGAAAAACGTAAAAAGTAATTTTAAGTAGGAGGTAGGGGTGAACGTGGGCCGGGTTGAGACAAGTTAAGGCTTGTCTTTACCCGGCCCTAAATGTTGTTCGAGTCATTTTTCTGAACCCTGACCCGACCCTAAATATTCACAGGGTCAACCTTTAAACCCGGACTCGACCCTAGACCTGATTAAATATAACATATGCTCATTTTACATAAAGTGTTCTAAATATTATTTATTATTGTGAACATATATAATTTGACATATACAATAATATATGTGCATTTATATTATTAAATATGTATATATGATGAAAAATTAGAGAATCAATGATATCTTCGACCAAAAAAATATCATTACTCTGTATATATTTGAACAGAGACGCATACAAACATCATGAGAAAGTGAAAATGAGACGGGTCCTGTTTGGTCCCTACCCGACCCTAAATATTAATTGAATCTAATTTTTGAACCCGAACTCGACCCTAGACCCGATGAAATCCGACCCTTTTTAGGCCTGACCACGATCGTGCCATACCGAGTAAGCGGGTAGGGCCCGATCCTACCCACCCTAGTAGGAGGTTACAATTTGTAATGGTGAAAAATTGTATACAAGAGTTTTATCTTAAATTTGTTTATAAAAGTACTAAAATACTAATTAACACCAAATAATATATTATATAAACAATATATTTTAAAAACAATACAATATATATGGTTAATGTAAAGTTTTATACAATCAGAATATTATTCACCACTTATATATAGTATATTATATTTATTAATAATAATTAAATGGAGAGAAACCCACTTACTCCAAGAGTAAGTGTAAAAGACCTACTCCACATCTTAGTCATCCAATTTTGGAAAATCCAATGATTTAGATGTATTCACCAATTCAAACCATTGGATTTCCCAAGAATGAAAGATCATGAAGTAGGTTTTTCCACTTAATCTTAGAGTAAGTGGATCTCATCCTAATCAAATATCAAATACGAGAGTGATATTACAAAAACTCTTACACTTGCACATATTCAGTCTCCTCTAAAAATTAATAGAAATATGTAAAATAAAAGATTAAATATTAAAAAATTAAAAAGAATATATTTAAAGGCCCGTACAGAAACGGGGAAGATCGGTTTTCTTTCACAGACACTGCAACTACGCCAAAAGTTCAAAACTTATTTCATTCTTTCTCTTTTCTTCATTCACGGTAAGCCCTCCATCAATTTTAACTACCTTCTCTCCTTTTAAATTCATATATTTTAAATTTCTCCCATTTTTATTCATTTATAATTATATATTGTTTGACATGTCCACTCATTTTTTAAAAGCAATATTCTCATCTCTATTATATTCTATTGTTCTTTTATGCTAAATCCATATAACATTGCAAGTCTTATAGTTGTGTGTTAAAATTTTCCCTTAAAACTTGAGTGACAACTTTCTATCACATATGATACTTGAAACACTGCGTCATTTCATTACCTCTGCTTCAATCCTATAGTTTATATCTCCGTCAATTTATCCATCGTGTTGTACGATTAACCCAAGATAATGAAATCTAGTGACTTAGACGCAATGCTGCTTAATGGTCACGATTTCAAATCCTGGAAAGCGGGTCGAACCGCCCTTTTTTAGTTAAATCTAGTGACTTGAGTTAACAATTCCTCTTTTTAATGCACTTATGGACATGTATGTGAAGTGCATATAGACCTATTGGCTTCACAAATTCTATTTGATAACATGGCACAGAAGATTCTTGTTTCATGGACTACAATGGTTTTGGGATATTCCAGATTCTGTCTTATGAACGTTGCTTTGGTGCTTTTATTTAAAATTCCAGAGAAGAAGAGTGTTATTCCCTGGAATGCAATAATCAGTGGATGTGTCCTTAACTAGCAAAATAAAGAAGCATTGAATCTATTTCATGAAATGCAAATTAATAGTATAGGACATGATAAACTGATCATGGTTAATTGCTTGCACTCACTGATTTAAATTGCGGTTGCGGTTGTCACCGCAACTGCATCACACCGAAATTGCGGTGTGACTCCGAATTACAATGATGCGGTCGTATAAGACCGCAACGCAACTGCATCGGACCGTATCAGGTTGCAGCGGATTTAAAAATATTGTTTTAATCGCAAAATAATTCACACCACAACAACCGTAATCCGCATCGCAATAGCCGCAATGACCGCAATTGGAATAACCGCAACCGACACCACAATCGTGACCACAACCGCAATTTAGAACACTTCTTGCACTAGATATAGGCATATGGATTCACCTTTACATTGAAAGAACAATATTTCTTTAGATGTTGCACGGAAATTGCACAAGTTGACATGTATGCCGAGCGTGGAAATATTGCAAAGGCTGT